AATCATTTCAATCAAAATTCCAATAACTTCAAACTCTTAAAGTCAATTTTAATATTACAAGACGGCCAAATGGGCTATTGAAGGCACGTACAAAATAATTTTAAAGTGAACTTAGTTATCATGTCTTTGTTAGGAGCTATCCATATGTAAGATATATGGTAGAGAAGAAGAAATTTATTGCAATCAATAAGGCTACAAGGCCAAGAGACAAATACAAACAACTAGGAAACTAGTAAATATAAAAATACAAAAATACCATTGACTAATAACTAAATTACATTTAACATTCCCCCTCAAACTGACGATGCATTAATCGTAAACATCGAGAGTTTGTTAGTCATGAAACGAAAACGTTGAGTAGAATGAGGTTTGGTAAACAAATCAGCAATCTGCAACAAAGAAGAGATGAAAGGTAAGGTGATGAAGCCATGTTGAAAGTCGTGACGTGTGAAGTGGCAATCAATCTCAATATGTTTAGTACGTTCATGAAAGACTGATTTGTGAGCAATTTGAATAGCACTCTTATTATCACAGTATGTGGGAGTAGGTTCGGGCATATCAACACCTAGAGGAGTAAGCTAGTAACTAACACAACCAAACTATTTTTGTAGTGGTGGTTTCCATAGCACGATACTCAACTTTTGTAGAAAAGCGAAAGATAACATCTTGCATCTTACTCTTCCAAGATATGAGAGAATCTCCTACAAAAATCAAAAACTCGTAGTAGACTTGCTATCCGTAGGATCCCAAGCCCAATCAACATCAGAGTGCCTTGAATATAACGAAGGATCCTAAGAACAGCTACCCAATGAACAGTAGTAGGAGAACTCACAAACTGGCTAACAATGTGCACTGCATAAGCAATAACAGGTATGATAACGGTCAGATACCCCAAACTCCTAACAAGAGTGTGGTATAGTGTAGCTTCACAGAGAGGAACACCATCAAAAGATGTATATCTAACATTAGTCTCAAGTGGACTGTCAACAACTTTCGTATTAGAGAGACTACCCATGTCAAGAATATCTATTATATATTTTGATTGGGATAGAAGATAACCTCTAGGAGAGGAAGCTACTTCAATTCCCAAGAAGTATCTAAGAGTACCTAAATCCTTCATCTCAAATTGTTGTGCTAGTTGTATCTTTAACATTGTAATCACATTAAATGCATTGCCAGTAATGATCATATCATCAACATAAAGAGACGATAATGCGACTTTGCAGAGTATTCCTCACAAATAAAGGAGAATCATGTGGACTTGAAGAGAATTCAAGAAAAGCTATTACAATAGAGAATTTCTCAAACCAAGCGTGAGGAGCTTGTTAGAGCCCATAAAGAGACTTTTGTAGCTTCCATACTTCCCTCAGATTATGAGAAACTTCGGGCCGGAGGAGGCACCACACACACACACATATATATTTCTTCATGAAGATCACCATTAAGAAAAGCATTTGTAACGTCCATCTGATAAATATGTCGTTGACGAATAGAGGCAATAACAATAAGAGTGAGAATGGTTGTCATCTTGACAAAAGGGGAAAAAGTTTTTTCATAATCCATGCCATATTGCTGAGCAGATCCCTTGTATTCAGAGTGAGACTTCAAATGAACTTTTTCAGCTAATAGTTCATTAATGACAGAATCAACCGATGGCAGAGGGTTCCCATGCAATGGAACCACGAAGGCCTTCAAAATCACCCCGAAGAGCCATAAAAAATTGTACCAAACGCTTTTGTTCCCTGCGATCAGTATATGGTTTGACAGCTTACAATTCTGCAGATTCAATAAGTGCCAATTGATCCCAAAGGTTAGTCATAGTAGATGCCCCAAAACCTGAAATGATGTATCATATTTTGCAAGTTGAACTCCTATTAATTGTGATACAAAGTTGTTAATCCAAGTAATGATTTTTGAGTTGTTCACCTCCTAAGCTTCCAACTTCTTTTCAATATGTTCATTATCTCTATCTTATTGGATTTAGCAATAGTCCCAAAAATATATCCCCACATTTGTTTACCAATCAAAAAATTTCTCAGCACATAGCTCGAATAAGCATAACTTTATCCATTTAGTTGCACACTAATGGATTGCAAAGAATCATCTCTTTCGATTGCCATAACTAACAATCACAATACCAGAAAATCTGAATTCAAATACTCAAAGAGAAAGGAGAGGTACACAAAGACTCTAACCAAAAAACCTAGCCAAATTGATGTTGGAGCACAGAGTAAGCCGCAACCACTAAAGGAGAGAAGCCTCTGATTGTGAACAACAAATGATAGAATTCGAAACTATGAGGAACAGTAATTGCGAAAACTATGGCTTTGACAAACCTTGGTCTTGACACCATGTTAGAAGCTATGCATATGGAAGAGATAAGGTAGAGAAGAAGAAGTCTATTGCAATCGATAGGAATACAAGGCCAATAGACCAATACAAATAGGAAACTAGTAAACTAAATATAAAAATACAAAAATACCCTTGACTAATAACTAAATTACATTTAACAGTCTTAAAGTATAAATGGGCTTTCAATCTTCATTGAAAAATAATGACAACTGAACAACAAAATCCTTGTAAAAATGCTAGAGAAAAGGTTGAAATTTAACATAACAAATCCTTGTAAAATTGTTACAACAACAATATAGTTAAATTATAGCTAAACCAGTAGAATTGTCTGAATTTGCTGAATTATTAATAAATTATATTCACAATGTATTTTAATCACAAAAACAAAGAAAAATTGTAAAAAATAGCTAAAATAATCACCTTGAGCAAACTTCGTCAAGTTAGTCAAAAAAATAAATTCAACCTTGTTTTGAATTATATACTCTGTATAATTCAACACACATAATAAAAAATATACTCCCTCCGTTTCACAATCTTTGACACAGTTTGACTTGTCAAGAATTAAAGAAAAAATGTTACTGAGGGGTAAATTTTAATGCAGAGTACACTGTTTGGCACTGTTTGAACACTGTTTGGCACTGTTTGACACTGTTTTGCACTGTTTTGGTAAGGATTTGTTTACCAAATAAGGAAATAAGGAAGTGTGTCATTGATTGTGAAACAGCCAAAAAAGGAAAGTGTGTCAAAGATTGTGAAACAGAGGGAGTATAATTCAACGCACATAATAAAAAATCACACACTTCGAAAAAAAATAATTAATAAAACTAATAAACTACTGATATCAGTTACTAAACATTTCTTTCCTAGAAATGTTACTTGTACACAAAGAGTTACACATTTTGTATTCACATGGATTTTATTACATATGCAATAGTTGTGCTGCTCACAGACAATAGTTGTTTGTGTGATCTATTTCAGTTGTTTGTGTAATTAATTTTAATTATCTAGATGAACAAAATATTTAATTGTCTATATACGTCCAAATGAATGATGTAGTTGTATGTGACTATATGTGATCAATTTGCATGTATATATCTTGAAAAATAATAAAAATAGATGAAAATAGATGAATAAGTTGATTTTGTCCCAGTTATATAAAAATGTAGACAAGAAGAGAATGAAGACGAGAAGATCGAGGAGGATGAAGAATAGAAAAAGATGATTGTTGGTCTTATTGGGATCAACACCACCCTTTGATGCATGCTTAACTGCCCAACCTGTTGGCTCAATGATAGTGTGCAGCCCACCATGTCCATCCATAGCTCAATAGTGGGGCTCTGCACTACCTTAGTGAACTAAGGTGGGGTGCCCTACATGATTTTACATCGACTCGGAGACTATGGAGTAATGTGTTAAATAGAGGGTGTTCACCTCCTTATCATGAAATTTCAAGAAGGGAATGGTTGTTATTTAACCACAGAACTATGTAGTTAAATGAACTTGAAGTAGGAATACCCAAGCACGAGTGATCCATTGGGAAGTTTATCGTGAATCGAATGAGCTGTGTAGAGAGAGGGAAGATAGAAGGGAGAGAGCGGGGGAGATAGTCAGGAGAAGAGAAAAAATAGGAAAATGAGAAGTGAGTGGCTTGGAATGGGAAAAAATGGGAAAATGAGAAGTGATATAGAAGGTATATAGTATATATAGATACTCTAGAACTCTTATATACAAATATCAATTTTCCTTCTTTCCAATGGTATGATTTTCTTTTTTCCGTCAACTTTGAAAGATTAAGAGCAATAAACCTTTATCACACGAAAGTGAGTGCAACTTTGATTAGGGTTGGGCGTCACATAGTAAGTTGGCGAGTGACTTGGAATATTCTTCAACTAGCAGAAGAGCAGCGAGGATGGGCAACGAGGTTGGCGATGGTCTGGTTTCGGCCGACAGGGAAAGATCGATCAGAACTCAAGCCAAGAATGTTCCATCGATGGAAGATTGTGAACCAAGCGATACAACGAGAGTGGTGTTCAATGTTCAAATGGAGGCACGATGGCTCGACCTCCTCCTGAACCACAGTCATGGAGTGGACTTGTTTCTAGGGTGATTCTGGAAAAAGTAGATTCAATTTTGCTTTATTTTTATTTCAAATTTAATCTTTGTTTTGTTAAACAATTTATTTGCTTTTGGATTGTTTGTGTTCGTGGTAGGTTTGAGATGTCTATTTTAGCTACGGCCAAAGCCCAAAGGTAATTATCTCGAGACTACCATATGTTCAGTGAAAAGCTTTACTGAGTATTGGGTATACTTTTCTATGTCTCATCAAAGATGAATATGACTCTTTGATTCTTATGAGTTTAGTGAAATGGTGAATAATAAGGTGACCTTAAAGGTCTATAAGAATGAAGTGATGCCCATTTGGTGGTCACCGATTCATGATGCTTCTTCGGAAGTGACCGTCTCAAAGTCTGGTCCTAAAGCGTCTCATGAGATCCAGTTTGTTGAAAGATAGATGACGGATTTGAAACTATTGGTTGATTGCAACTCTAGATTCAATTCATTTTATATTTTAATATAAGTCCTGTTTTTCACTAAAAAATCATGTGACATCACACACATTGTTTTACACATATAAAAAGAAGAAGTAGCCAAATTTGAGCATAATATTTTTATTCATCCACTATATATAACCTAAATAACGACACACAAGATGGCTAATTCTAGGAGATATCTGTAGTCTAGGAAATACATGGCATGTTATTCCAGCACAACGTCGTCTCTGAGGTTGTGATTGTGCTTGACGATTTTGAATCTTCTTTGTGATTTCTAACAACGTTAGCGACATGACCACCACTAGGACCGTCCACAAGATCACCGTTTCCGTCTTCATCTTCATCCTCGTACCAATCAGGAGCAACGTGTACTGCCAACGGAAAATCGTCAAGCAAACACATTATATCCTCGTCCATCACACAACTATTGTTATTACTCTCCTTCCCCGCTGCAACTCCACCTTCCCATTTCCCTGTATTTATTGATTGCATAAATATATTTAATTAAATTGCTACTTCAATCTATTCATTTACACGCGTAATCATATAAGGAAAATATCACAAGGAGTATGATTAAAATTGGCTAAACAATGTCATAATTTATTTGAGAAAAGTCCATAGGAGTGTTATAAAGTCTAAACAGGTCTTATTCACTCATATTTTGAGGAGAGTTTAATGTCTTATTCCTTTAATATGAGTAAATTAGTCCTGTATTTGGAAGAAATCATATGTAATTTAATATTAAATTTTGTTCATGTTTTAGTTCTATTTTAAGTCATTTATTTTTTATTACTAAATCACTGGTATTTTTAGATATATGATACATGCTTCTATCCTGATTTTTCCCTCTTCAATTTAAGTATTAATCACATATTTAAATTTGTTAGTAAAATATGGAGCATAGGAATCTAAGAATATTTGATTGAATTTCTCATCATATAATCACTCCTCTATTCTTTAGAACTTTGTCATTTTGTAATTTTTAGTCAATCAACCTCAACTCTGACTGATTATATATTTTTATAAGAAATTATTCGGTTATAATGACTTATATATTACTAAAATTAAGGTAATGGACAAAATTATAACTTCTTATAATAGTAACTTTAGTCATCATGATTATGTTTAGTTTTACATAATACTTACAATAATGGCATATTGGCATATTTATAGTACATTCGTTTATAAGTTTCATTTAAACATTATTTCTTTTTTTAGCATTTAAATATTGTTTCTTAAAAACCCAATTATTTATAGAAATTACTCCAAATAGGACTAAAACTATGCCAAAAACTCAAAATAGGACTTACTATGTTTTTCTTTTCAAAATAGGATCATATTAGTCCTATTGGAAACATATCTATTTTTCATTCCATTCTTACCCTTCCTTTAAATATGAGTTAATAAAATATTTAATTCATAATAAATTCAAAAAAAAAAATCAAAAATTCGTAGAAAAATATTTAAAACATTTATAAAATATTTATAAAATAAAAAATTAAAAAATAATTTTTTTTTAATTTTTTATTTTTTAAAAAAATTAATAAAAAATAGTAAAACTCCATAAAAAAAATTTAAAAAATATGGATGTCTTTCCCACCGCCTGTACTATCTCCCTGCACCACCATCTCCGGCCGGTGGAAAAAATGTCATTTTTCCTAAAAACTGTCATTTTTTCTGAAAATGCCAAAAACATGGCATATTTCTCTTTGAGAATGCCAACATTTTCATTGTTTTCTGCCATAAATATGGTATTCGTAATGAACTTGGCATTTTTTTCCCCTGATGGCTGGAGGTGGTGGTGCAGAGGTGGCATAGGCGGCGGTGTTTTTTTTTTTTGAGTTTTTTATTTTTTTTAAAAAATCATTTTTATTTATTTTTTGAAAAAAAAATAAATAAATTACGAATTTTTTAGTATTATCGAAATATTTTTATTAATTTTTTAGTATTTTTTACGATTTTTTATTATTAATTATTATTTTATTATGAATTAAAACATTTCAATAGCTATAAAGGTATATTTGTTCAAGACACACATAATTAGTCGTATGAAAACACAGTTTATTTTTTAGTCCTATTTGTGCAAAGTGAGTGACTTTTAGTCCTATTTTGATAATTAAACCAATTATTTATGATCCTACATATGAAAATATGAAAATGCTCTTCGTTAGAAATACAGACTAATAATTCATAAATTAATGTAGTAACTAAAATCATTAATCAAAATATATGATCATTGATTTTTGAAAAGTAAGAGGTAAAGTTCTAAGGATGGAGGGAGTATTTTAGTTTGAAAATCGAACCTTCACGGCCAAAACTAAACACCACTTCTTGATTTCCGATCGTAGATTTGTGTTTTCCGTTTCCATCTGAAGAATAATTTTTGTTAACTCGCGCCAAAGAATGAGACTCGCGCAATAATTCGTCCAATAATCCACTGTTGCTCCGCGATAAATCCGGGTGATCAGCTTCGCAGTCATCATCGTCAGCCTCGTCGGTCGCCGCCGGGTAAAGAGTCCCGGAAAATCTTACCGGGGTGGCGGTTGTTTGCACGGCGGTTTGGATTGAAGGTCGCTCTTGTATTTTCATTCCCGTTGGACCCGCGAAGCAACCGCCGCCGGCGAAGGTTGGATAGAGGGAGCTGAACGGGAATGGAAGCGGTGCCTGACCGAAATGTTTATTGGCCGCCGCCGAGGAGGAGGATGAGGCCAACGTCAAAGCAAGATCACCGTGCGCAGAGCGTGTGAGAAACTTGAAATGATGAGAATTATGGGTATGGGGAGGTGGAGCGGGAGATTTCAAGGCCGCCGGAGAACGGTCCAACATGTGGTCGTACATGGACATAGAGGGATTGTAAGCGGCGGCGGGCTTGGGTGGCGGCGGCGGCGCTGATAGAAGCGCAGACAGGGGAGGTGAAGAAGAGGTGGACATTAGGATCTGGGCATTGGGATAGTATGAGTTTTGGGGTTGAATTTCTTGAGGATAAATAGGCAATCCAGCTCTCTGTCTCCTCTTTAGCCTCGTGTTCCAATAATTCTTTATCTCGTTATCAGTTCTTCCCGGCAACTACACATAAACACATACACAAATCAATTCAAATTGCTAATAATTTTCTGAAACCATATACCCTTCTGCCTCTAGATTAAATTATTCAATTTAGCTCGCACGTAATTATCTCCTTAAAATTGCTTCAAAGAGAATATTGTTTGACTCAAGTTAGTGTACATAATCATTTTAACTATTTTTCATATAAATCAGTAGAATCAGTAGAATTTCATAAATTTCAGCACAATCAGTTTGTTATAAAAGGACTCTAAATTTGAGATATTATTTAGTTTTATTGAAAATACTACCTATAATTTGCCAAAAAAAAGAAAATATCACCTATAAAACTTTCCTTATTAAGAATGAGTGTGTCTTGCTCTGTATTTTATTTGGAGTACTTTGATAGATAGGTTGGTGACTAACTTTGTCTATGAGATTTTAATGCTATTTAAGAATATACCTGAGCGGCCATGCGAGCCCACTTGTTGCCGAGCTTGGAATGAAGCTGAACAATGAGACGTTCTTCATCGGGAGAAAAGGCGCCCTTTCTGAGATTAGGCCTGAGATGATTGGCCCACCTTAGCCTACAGCTCTTACCGCACCTCATCAGCCCGGAGTTCCTCTGGACCGCGTTCCAGTTCCCTTCGCCGTGCTTCTTCACGTATTCCATCAAAATCGCGTCCTCTGCCGTCGTCCACGGCCCCTTCTTCAGCATCTGCCGGCTCCTTCCCTGGGCGCCGCTTTTCATTGGTCCACCATCCGACGACGTCATCAACCTACGTACGTATATGTAACCGGTCTAAGCTAGTGCAGCAGCTAGCTGATCGATCGATCTTCGATCTGTTTTTGTTTGAGGAGAAAATCTTTTGTTTTTGGATGGAATTTACAGAAAACAGAGATGGCTGAGAAAGAGAAAGGTGGAAAGGGGGAGGTGCCTGCTGGGCAGATTTATAGAATGATAGGTGTGAGCTTACTTCTCGTCCCGGCTTGCAAGCTTCATGCTACATTTTTTACGCACTTTTCTTTCTCCACTCCTTTTCAATTTTCACCTCACGGAGCATCATCCTCCATTTTACATTTCCCCCTTTTTATAATTATTTCAATGCGTGTGTAGAGATAGAGAGCGTGTTTGGCTCGCATATCTAAAAATAGAAATATATTGTAACTTTGACCTCTGATTAGTTAATGGTATAAAATAGATTAAATTCTTTAAATAGGACTAAAATATATGGAGTACTTACTAAATCATTGTTTTCTTTATAAAATAAGACTCATCCATTTCTAATTGAGAACATTTTATATTTTTATTCGGATCAAATAAGTCTTACTTAAGTAATTATAATCATATAGTTTCACTGGTGCACTTTCATTCACTTTTAGTCTTATTTAGAGAAATTAGCACATAAAATAGGGAAGTTGCCCTAAAAATATTCCAAAATATAATTGTAATGTATTAATTCTTAAAATATGAGTAATTATATTTGAGCAGTACGAGATTTTAAACATGACAATATTTTCCAAACTTAGTAGTAGTGACTCCTATTTGGAATAAAAAAATATGACAATCCTCTAAATAAAATAACATAAAAGGATAATGGCCACGTATGCTTACTTGTTTTTTGACTTCACAACTGTATCATTCAATTTATTTAACAAACACTAAACTTTAATTTCGCGAGTTTGATTGTTCCAACAAAATAAGCAAGTCTAGGTAGAATTACTTTTAAACTTGAGTAAGTTGTTTAGTAATACTCCATCAATCCCAAAATAAGCAAGTCTTATTGCATATACTTTTTCCTTAATCAATTTGGGACGGGTAGTAAAATATAAGTAAGATTATAATTACAATTTTAACTCTTATTGCATATACTTTTTCCTTAATTTACTAGTAATATATATTTTCATTGGTTGCATATTTCAACAAACTCAGTCGATTAAGTTATTTAAGTCATAATTTTAGTAATTTCACCATGTGCCGCCAATTTCATAGTTGTAAAACAGGCTCTAAAATAGTTATGAGAACACATTTTTGTAAAAGAATACTAAAGAAAATTCAATAGCTCGGAAGTTGTAAAGCTAGGCTAAAAAATGATTTGCGGTATATAGATTAACTTATTACTGTCCGTGTCCTTCAATTTAATGAGCACATTGTAATTTTTACTTCGTATTATCTAGAGAGCTATGAGCTAGCTAGAAAAAGAGAGATAATGTGTCTTTGGGTTTACAATACATTTCTCTATCTATATATAGAAGAGACTCCATGAGCTAGCATAAAATGACATGAGTCTAAACATAGAATTATTGATGTCTATCTTATAACTTTGTCATAAAAATTTTGAATGTCCCAAAAATTTTGTCACTTTCCTTTTTAATAATGAATTTGTGGTTCTTATTATTTCTCTCTCCTCTGCACATATCTCAACCACACAGTTTTTACTTTATTATTTCTCGTGCCGATCAAACATGGCAAAGTAATGAGGGACATAGGAGTACATCACTATGTGATGTGAACTGTTAGCAACTTAGCGTGTTATGTTCGGGAGAACTACTCATCTTGTAAAATAGGGCCTAATTTTTGAATGAAATAAGTGCAAATTACCCGGATAGACTCCTTTTATGTTTAAAATTTCATTTATGTCCACCAACTTAATATTTTTCATATTTAACTTTCATCTTTTCACTTTTAATTTTATATTTCAAAAAGAAACCTAACTCTAAAGTCTCAACGTAATCAAAGATCGGCTCTGCGCATCTGCCTTCTCTTCCAAAGGTTTGTTTCCGTCCATCTTCCATATTCGTTGGTCTATGTTCTTAATCGTCTCTCTCACAGATAGCACCATCGATCTCGTAGTCTGTCTCATGTTTTCTCCAATCGTCAATTTGATTGTGAAATTGATGCCGATTTTGAAGGTTAAAGATACCTGCTTTGTTCTTCTTCACCATCGTCCGACTCTGCAAATTTTTAATCGATCCTCATCAATCGTCCACCGTTGTCGCCTGCCAAGTCCTCCACCAGCGTGACACCTCCAATAGCCTGTCGTGTACTGCAGCTGACCAGCTTCCTGGTAGTCTACATTTTGCTGCTTACTTTGTTACTCGATACGATACTACACTTCAATTCAGGTAAGTTTTGTTCTAATTTCATCTTTGTTTTTTGTTTATCGTTTCAGGTTTTGAGCTAGTTTTTAATTTCAGTCTTAAATTTTTTACTTCCAGCCTTTGACCGTGAATAGGAACTTAAGAGCTTCTTGTTTTTCTCTTTGGTTTTTTTGTTGTTGAATGGTTCTGGTTAAAAACTTTACTTTGTGCATCTTAAACTTGCTACTCCATTTAGATAAACTTGCTACTTGGTTAATGTGAAGTATGAATTACCTGGAACATTTAGGTAACTTATAATTTTAGATTGATGTGAGGATTTTTATGATGATGGTATCTAATGTGCATGAATATTCAGTGTTAATTACAGTTAGATACTTAAGTGACATCATAACATCAATGTCACTCACTCCGCCATAGCTGATGGGATTGAGATGAATGTCATTTAAAATTTTAGGAAAAGAAGTGGAAATAATCATATTTGCATTGCAGAGTGATCGATGATTGAGATTCCTCCTGTTGAAAACAAAGATAATGATTCATGCGTTAGAATGCTTGTTGCTCCTGTAAACCTCTTTGATATTTACAGAAGACAAGTTTTAACCATTTTCAGCTCTTTCTTCATCTTAAATTCCTTACAGTATATTTCTTATATTTAGTGATGTTATTGTATGAACATACTTTCTATAAATTGGTACACCACTGAGTTTGAAGTAGTTGACAATATTCACTTCACTCATCTCATAGACAATATGAACAAACACCAAAAAATGTTAAATATCAATTAATGAATATGAACAACAAGAAGAAACAATAAAAAACAAGAATTTCAAAGTTATCAACAAAAATAAACACAAAGAAACAATAGGAAACAAAAACACCTAAAATAATAAAATTGGACTTGTGAATAAACAAAAAAGAAATTTGAAGAAACAATAAAAAACAAAAAAAAATCTAAAATTATCAACAAAGGGAAACACAAAGAAACAATATGCAACAAAAGTAAAAATTAAGCGATAAGACAATATTCACTTCACTCATCTCATAGTATACTCATAAAACTGACATCCCAGAGAATTGATTGACGACTGTAAACGTGCATCAAATTTTATTAAGTTGTTAGTGTAATATTAGAATTATGTCCTAGTTTTTCCTCTAGTTGAAATGATCAAAGCACGAGTTCCAAAACTTCAATATTAATACTCTGTGTTGATGTATGTTTAGGCCTTGTACTTTAGAAGATAATTTTCCCAAACAAATGTCTTAGATACTGGAATAAGTGGAAGTGATTTTAGAAATGTGCATACATTATTTAGTGAGTTCATTATTATTTCTATAATTATCTATATATATTGGGAAATGAGTTCAAATAATCTCCTTATCATGCAGGCCTCGTTATCAAGTACAATGCGATCTAGAGTGCCGCAATGCTATGACTTGTTTTCTCCTTCAATATACTTGTAAATGTATATACTGAAAAATCAGTTTAATACTCTATTACTCCGTATATTTTAATATTGTTGCATTATATGTATGATTCCAATAACGATTGCGGGGAAAAGTTAATTGGAATTATTATTATTATTATTTTTCTTTTCTTGATTTGTTTCCTTTTGTTGTATCGTATTTCTTTTTGTTTCTTTTTTTGTATCATGTTGTTTTGTTGGAGTTTGTTTCTTTCTGTTGCTGCTTGTTGCTTTTTGTTGACCATTTTTAATCAAATTGTCGCGGGGTAGCAAAATTAGTAGGCTCTTGTTGTCGTTTTTTTCTGCAGCTAGTCCTAGCTGATGGAGTTACACCTGCTTTATTGTCTTTTCAGATCATGAATGTAGAAAATCAAATGAAGTATGGAACTAAGGATTCTTGAATGCTTGTTTTGAAATTATTTTCTTTATGGTTTTGTTGCATCTTGTTGCATTTTGTTGCTTTTTATTTTGTTTCTTTTTGTTGTATGATGTTGCTTTTTGTTGAATCGTGTAATTTTGCTGATATTTTTGTTAATTTGGCTTTCTATTTATGTTTGCTAGTTAGGAGTAATAACCAATACACAATCTCACACACATATTAAGTCATATAATAATAAATTTGGATTTATGGAAATCAACAAAGAAACATAATTAAATAATAACTAATTGCAAAGTTATAGACAAAATAAACAATTGCAAATTTATAGATATAATAATATATTTTTCGTTACTATTTTAAAGGATATCAAAAAATATATATATATATTTGTTAATTTTTTACAATTTTATTCTTATCTTACAAACTTTCTATATTTCATACATTATAATTTTTCACTTTTTTATTTTTATATTTTTTTCCTATAAATTTTAATTTTTTGTACTCGTTTTAGTGTTTTTTCTTATAATCATACACTTTTAAAACTTTTGTTATAGTTTTTGTTTTGTTAATTTTTTTATTCTCTAAAAAATCCCATTATTTAATATTTTTATCATTTTTACTTTATGATGTATTTATATTATATAATAATTAAGATTTTATATTACTTCAGTTTTTAAATTATTCTTTTTTGTACATTCTTCATATCCAAAAGTTTTATTTTGTAGTTCACATGTTCAAAATTCGAATAAATTATTTATATTTTTCATTTTTTTACATTTATTATATTTTCATAATCTTTTTTACCTTTTTACTAATTTTAATTGTCTTCGTAATTTCAAGAGTTTATAAGATATTTGCATTCAAAAGAACTTTTATTATTAATATTACTATTATTACTTATACATTCGTTTTCAAAAAAAATTAAAAAAGGAAAGTGCATGACCTAAATATTTGTTAGGTAGTGATCTTACGTGTGTTTAGTCTTAGCAATTAAAATGCATACGTGACCTGAGCATTCAAATGGAGAGCCGAGTCCAGTGTTAAGGTGTAAGGTCCATTATTGAAAAGAAAACGCGAACTTGTCTATATTTGAGAAAAAACTTAAAAGATGAAAA